AGACTAATCCTACAGTAATGGCCCAGTTTCCCTCCCTCCTTCGTCTATTCCCAGTATGTACTGTGAAATATTCATCATTGTGTGCTGCAATGTCATTTATACTTCATGTGCGTGAATGTATTCTCACATATTAAGTCTGACCGTTTTTCTTCTCATTAGCCTGAGACAAACTAATACTGCTTGAAGTGAACTAGATCCTAAACCCTTAACACTGCCCCTAAAATCTCATCTTTGTGGATATGTAGATGATTCAGAATATTTATACTTTACAAAAACTCTTACCTGAATGAAACACTAATTTTAAAAAATTACTGGAGAGAACTCATGAAAATATGTGTGTAGACCTCAGCTTGAGAAACATTTCAGTAGTTGAGTGTGGAGTCTTGAATCAGACTGACCTGGGTTTGAATTTAAATTTGAACTCTGCTGTTTACCATCCATTTGTGTAATTACCCAACCTCTCTGGGCCTCAGTTTCCTCAGCCTGTCTCTCATGGTTTTATGTAATCTGTAAAAGTATCGTAATCCCTATCTCTAAGGGAAGTTGTGAGGATTGAGATAAAGTATATAAAGCACCTGGTATCAACTTGGCATTTAATAAATTTCCTTCTCTTTTCCAAAACGGAATCTTAGGTCTAGCTTGTCCACTAATAAAGAAAGGCATGGGTAGACCTGGGACCCTTCTGAAGGCAAACAAACGCTGTAAGAAACACACCACCTAGCAGACCCCTCTAAGCTTTGTTCTCCACAGCAGAGATGCTGGACTCTCTTTTGGACCCAAATGAGAGGTTGAGGCTGTGCCCTGTTATGGGACATGAACTCTAGTTCTTGGGAGGAACAGGGGTCTCTGAGTCCTTTCTGGCCTATCCAGAAACATCTCCCTCCCCAAAGAAATAAATCACTCTGCTTTGTGCTTCACTTACAGGGAGTGGAGCTTGCTTGCTCTACACGCTGCTTCCTGTGTGAGGATATCAGTGAAAAAGCCCTAGTCCCAGGCACAGACACGGGCATAAATATGGACGTGAGCTTTACGGGGCTGCCACCAGTTGATCAGAAACACAGGAGTGGACAGACCGAGGCCGCAGTACTGACTTGCTCATTGTGCCGACAGGACTTGCAATAGGTGGGAGCCTGGCTCCTACCCTGCCAGCATTTGCTCTGTAAGGACTGCTTCCAGGGCCTGACCCAGGAGCTATGGCAGGTTGCCAAGGCTCGAGGGACTGTCTCAGATGGTAAGTACAAAAGCCCCGCAGGCTCACTTCCTTCTATGTAACAGGTCTCTCTTCTTGTTTCATAGGAGCTGAGTTTCAGGTATAGATAGAGTCAGAATTTAAATGCCCAAGGGACATTTGTTGCTGAAAGCAACTCTTGGGGGAATCTGTGAGACTGAAGCAAATCCTCTTGATGCCTAATATATCTGTTTTGTAAGCTGGGACTTTTCATGTTTGGGATTTCCTTAAATTGGTGGCTAAGTAACCTGGGAAGATTTTGATCCAAGGTTTGGCTGACTCCCTAGGTGGAGAGGACGTGTCCTGGCTCACTAAACTTCTGAGGTGGGAGAGGGGGGTGCGCGGGGAGATGGGCTGGCTCTAGGGTTGGTCAGGAACAGATTTGAACAGACTCACTGACTAGCGAACCATTCACCATCGAAGGTGCTGCCCAGCAGGGAGGAGCTTGTGTCTTGCTTCTGAATGTCAGGTTTCCTAGGAAACAGTCTCTTTGAAAACTGTGAAGTCCTTAGAGACAGGAACCAGTTTCCTTCATTTCAGTATTGTAGCTCTGGGCACATAATAGAGGTGCAGTGAGTATCTGTTGAATGAACTTACAAGATGAGAAAGTCAAATAAGCTGATGGCATTTGGCAACATTATCTTTTTTGTTTGTTTTATTGTCTGCAGTATTTTGAAAGTGACTTGTAGCCCAAGTCTAGGCTGTCTTTGAGTCAGCATAA